ATAAGATCTGAGTACAGTAATACCACATATGTACCCTGCTATGCCCACCTTATACAACTAGAACAGACATCATTAACTGGTCAAGTGTTCTATTTTGTTAAATCCACTTAGCATCTCTTCTTCCATGAAGCTCCAGATAGCTTTTACCAGTCTATGAGAGGTGTACTTGCCAGATGGAACTCATTTCCCATCTCTGGACTAAATAATCTTAATGGCTTTCCCTAGCTCTCATAATTAAGATGGTATTTCTTCTAATTTGAACCATGAAAAATAAAATCCTAAACTGAAAGATATATAAATGATTATTGAACAGAAAGACCACTGTACAGCTTATCAGTATCCTGTTTTAAAAACTCCTTTTCTATTAATAGTCACAGCCTCCAAAGAGGGAAAATACCATGAACCATATGGCTGTATTTACCACTTCAAAAAATAAGTGCAATTAAAATAAACCAATAACTTTTCTCTGTGATGATTTAAATGTCAGTTTATAAAGCTCATTCTTTGTATTTTTTATATTTCTGCTATGCATAATCCACTTCTCATTCTAACTTAACAAAACTAGACCACATAAAATGTTTCAAGTTTTATTTCAACATATTTAAGAACTTTACTGCTTCTGCCATAGAAGACAGTCATCTTATGTGTTTCGTACTAGTTTCTTTTGGTTAACACAAGAACGTCACAAAAATTTTTGCTCCTACTCTTCTTTCACTTCTCTGACTAAAGCCTTGAAATGGCCCAATGTGACTGGGACAAAGCCTGAGCTCCTTAATCAGGACTTCATAATCTAATCCTTATTTACCTTCTCTTACCCTCCCACACATCTTCCTCTATTTAGTCTTACTGAACATCTTTCAGTTCTTTGAAGACACCACATTTCCTTTTATCTCTGGGCCTTTGCATATGGTGGGCCTTCTACTAGAAAATTCTTTACTTTGTGCTCCTCGGGCCGACTCGACGGCACATAACAACAACAACAACAACTCCTTGGTTGGAACTCCTCGGAAGGAAGGCTGGGCAATCCTACTTCCGTAGTGGTACTGCCTTGGAAACCCAAGGAGGGGTTGCTATGAGTCGGGGCCGACTCGATGGCACATAACAACAACAACAACAACACTCCTTGGTTAACCTTTTGTTACCTTTCAAGTCTCAGTTTAAATGTCATTTTCCCCAGCAGCCTTCTAGATTACAGAAGGTACCACTGACTAGGCTAAGTACCTTTGCTACAAGCTCCTAACGTATAACCCTGCATTTTCTCTGTTGCAGTATTCAACATGCACTCCAACTGCTTACTTAATTTTAGCCTCTTTTAAACAATAAAGGGAGCACTGGTGGCATAGTGCCTAAGGCATTTGACTGCTAACCAGAAGGCTGGCGGTTCAAAGCCACCAGCCACTCCTTGGAAGGAAGACTGGGCAATCTACTTCTGTAGAGATGTTGTTGTTGTCATGTGCTGTCAAGTCAGATTCGACTCATATAGCAACCCCTCCTTGGATTTCCAAGGTGCTATCACTAAGGAGCATAGTGCCTAAGGCACTTGACTGCTAACCAGAAGGCTGGCGGTTCAAACCCACCAGCCACTCCTCGGAAGGACGGTTGGGCAATCTACTTCCGTAGTGATACTGCCTTGGAAACCCAAGGAGGGTCGCTATGAGTTGGGTCTAACGCGATGGCACCTAACAACATCACTACAGAAGTAGATTGCCCAACTTTCCTTCTGAGAAGTGGCTGGTGGGTTTGAACCACCAGCCTTCTGATTAGCAGTCAAGTGCCTCAGGCACTACGCTACCAGACTGCCTTGGAAACCCAAGGAGGGGTTGCTGTGAGTCGGAACCTACTTGAGAGCAGTGAGTTGTTTTTTTTTTTTTGGTTTTAAACAATAAGATTTCTGAGGGCATGGGCTGTATCTCCTTGTCTATCACTGCCCAACACACAGTAGGCACTCAAGATACATTTGTTGAATATGTGAATAGATTTTAAATTATGTTCAATAAAGTCAAATTTACGTAAGTTTGAACTTGTATTATTTGCAAAACCAGTCTCAAATTATCAAAACTGAAGCAATTTCTGAAGTTATGTATTGCAGGCTTTTATTTAATAGAGAGAAAGCCAATGCAAA